TTATTTTATTCAATTTGTTTATTAAGCGTTAAAATCCTTTATAAATAACTTTTTGAATAGTCCGAATTTACACATTATACGTGATCGTGCTGGTCCTGCGCATCGTCACGCGCTGCGCAGCTACCCTATTTATTTAATTCTTTTCTCTTAAATTCTTTTCTCTTATATTGCTATTTGAATTAATAATAAACTACATCTTTCTTTATCATATTAAACGTTCAAGTCTAACCACTATCAATTTCTTCCGTTCCTGGTTTCGCGCGATGACGTCGCGCAGCTATCTAGTTTTGTAAATCTGGAGTTTCATGTATGCCGTGTGAAAATTACATGAAATTTAATTTTCTGAAACTTACATACAGTAAATTACGTGAATGTAAAATTGTAATTTATGTAACACAACCCTAGATCACGCTTTTGGATCAGGGCCACGTGATTCTGCATATGGACCCTCACAGCAAAAGGGGGAATGGGTAAACAACTTTTTTTAAAAAAAATAAAAATCTTGAAGAATTAGGTTGGTCAGAATAAAATTATTATGAAATTAAAAAATCTAGTTTTTTTACTCATCCCCTTCTTTTGCTGTGAGGAGTCCCATATTTTGTTTACAGTTAGTTGACTACAACTATACAGTTCGTTTCTGGCGTTTTTCAATATTATTTACATTTACAAAAAAATAAAGTTCACAAATTTTCGTGTCGTCGTTATATCAAAACTGTAAAATAAAAGACTTCAAATTCATTTAAATTGCTTTAATACCATTTTAGGTTTCTGTTAAAAATTCAATTTTTTTTTTTTTAGTTCGTTATATAATCTTTGATATTACTTTCATCACAATATACATATGTATTTAAAAAAGTTTTATTGAAAATATATTTAACTGTTTGAGAAGAAAAAGTATTCTTCGGAACACCTGGTGTGGGATTTTCAGCCTTTATAAAAACGAGTTTTTTCTTAAAAAAAAAAGACTAAATAATAAAATCTATTCGTCAAATCATTTTTCAACAAAAAATAAATAGATCACTAAGTATGAGGCGACGTGTTTATTTTTAAATAAATTGAGAAATAATGCAGAACATGAATACATCATATGATTTAAAATGTTACAAAATTTGCAAACTTTCGTGGCGGAGTCACACATTGCCACAAATGCTTTCAAATATTTGCCAACAGAATATGGCTTAGAATCTTCAAAAAATTTCAAATACGATTAAATTTTTTTATTGAAATTTATCCTGCTAATCGTCATAAATATAATTTGAATAATTCATTGTTACTATCGGAAATTTATCAAAGATAATTAGAAATGACGTCTAAATCAGATAATCCTCATGTAAACATTCCAATCGAGGAGGCAAATAAAAACGAGGAGGCAAATAAAAACGAGGATGCAAATAAACGAGAGGCAAATAAAAAAATTTCGGAAATTGTCTGCTCGCCTAAAATGAAACAAGTTGCTGCACTACACGAAGATAGCAATTTTAGTCTTTGGTCTATTGATAGTCAAGGAAAACTACTAGAGAATGAAAAAACAATCGATATCGGCAAAATTTACAAAAGAGAAAATGGCGAGAGAATATTTGCAGTTTCAGATAATAAGCATGTTGCAATAAGTCTTGATAGAAACAAACCTTATAATTTCAGTAAGTTATGCGTAATTTCAGTAAGTTATGCGTAAATTTAATATTATTGTTATTTCAATATATTCAATTACATTTATCGTATTTTGCATATTTTCAAGAAATTTTCGATTTTGAAACCGAAAAAGAAGTAACATTAAAATTTCCAGATTGGCAAAAGGAAGTTGACTTATTATCCTTTATTGATAACGGAAATATTATAATGGTCAATACTAAATATTATAGAGCATATGTTTTTTCATTTAAAGATAATATTACCTGGACTTGTAAATCAATGATTGAGCTGAAATATTTTAGAAAAATTTTTATTACTATTAAAGGCAAACTGATCATATTTAATGACACGATTTATGAGCTCACAATGTGGGAAATTGAAAAATTATCGATTAAAACTCATATTTTAATCGATTGGAATTTTATACCTGAATCTATTGAAATTAGTGATGATGAAGAATTATTAGTTGTATGCGCAAGAAATGAAGAAACTAATGAAACACGTTTATATGTTTTTTCCACCGAAACTGGAATGAATTTGTCATCATGTAAGTTTTTATATGAGGAATTATAAATTTCTTTTAAATTTTTTTTTATATTAAATTTTGATTTTCATTTTTAGTCACTACACAAATAGTAATAAATAGGATTCATTTGATCGCTTCTAGAAAAGGTGAAAGATTATTATATATTTCAGGGAAGCAATATAATTCAATGGACCCTTATAAACTCAAATTCCCAAAAAGTGCGAGTATGCTTTTTAAAAGGAATGGAATTCTGATTCAAGAACCATACATAATTCGATCGGATGAAATAGCAGATAAAATAATTTATGCGATTGACGGAAAATTGTTAATTGATGAATTAGTGTCTGATAATTCTGGTAATTGGGTCAAGTATTTACGAAAAGAACTGAAGGACACAAATAGCATTACAACTCCGTCTAAAAAGACGATTGATATTATAAAAGACATATTAACAGCTGATGTTTATAATACTGACAAAAAAGAATATGAAGGGGTATTATTAAAATGGGGATTAGAAGAAGATGATGGATCAGTCAAACTTACTGTAATAGATTATAATCCTAAAAAGAAACAATGGAACGCAGATAATAAAAAAAAGAATCTGGATATTCTTCCATCATTTTACAAAGGTGGAAAAAATTTTATACTACATTGTGAAGTTCTTGAAAATGATGATTTCATTACGATTACACGTATTGGTCTAATTATTTGGTCTTATAAACCTGACTTTAAGTTGGGTGACATTAAGATCATTAAGATGCATTATTATTGGAATTGTTGGAATGATCATTTAGAAGAATTCAAATTTAAAAAGATAAAGTTTGAAGATTTCTTTGAGAAGCGGTCTTCAGGAAGAATTCTTCCTGCTTCAAGTTATGAAACAATCTATAGAAATTTAGATGTTAAATTCGGCAAAGAAGGAATACAACTTTTCAGGACATTTTTAAAAGATAATGTCTTTGAAGAATTTTATTTAACTTGCTACGGAAAAATTCTCATGAAAACATTTATTAAATTAAAGGATGATAAATGGATTAGATCTTTAGGCCAAAGCTGTTTGGATAAGATTATAGATGATAATCATTTGATTTCGAAAATTGCTTTGTTGAGTATTATTTTTGAAAACTTTAATGAATTATCAGAAGAACATCCTGCATTTATAGCAAGCACTTTATCCTATATAGGGTTTGTAGTTCCTTCTAAGGATTTAATTTCAAACTCTAATTCTTCACATCTTTCCACTTATGGAAGATACTATCATTTATCTAAAACATCAATTCTTCATATAATAATTTCTAATATTTGGTCTCGTTGGATTAGTTTTAAAAAAAGATTTCAAACTTGGTTTGAAAATTTTCAAGAAAAGCATACTTTTTTCCGAGATTCCATTGTAAAACCAATTAATAATTTTTATTATATGGGTCATAGTTCAACAATACTTGCAATTCCTTTACCAAACTTTGTTACTTATCCAAAAGATTATAGTTTTTGGAAAGAATTATTGTGGCCTAGTACCAATCCTTTTACAAATTCAAATAGGCTTGAAATAATAAATGAAGAATTTTATAGATATTTAAATGGCGAAGCACTACTTAGATTTAAATGGAATACTTATGGATGAAAATATTATTTGGCAGCTTGAGCAATTTATTCTGTTTTTCTTTTTAATTTCATATATGCTGCAACATATTACAAAAGTATTTCTCAGGCTAGTTTATTTATTCTCTTATATATAACTATTTGTCTTGGGATTTGGCACTTATTTTGTGAATTCCGGCAATTTCTTTCCGCGCCATTAATTTATATGTCTTGCGCATGGAATTATTTTGGTAATACTGTAAGAATTTAATGCATCATATTAATTTTTTATCAAATTATGACTTATTTTTTGCTCATAAACTAAGACATTGGTGCATTTTTACTGCCAACAATATCGTCAATTAAATGGATTCAAAGTAATGTCATACCAACAGAAATGACTACTTTTTCTACTTTATTATTAGAAATCAAATTTCTTTTATATTTTCGTGCAACTGAATTTTTGGGTACTTATTTCTCCATGATACTTGGAGTAGCCCAAAAAGGATTTTCGTTTTTGATAATATTAGGATTTATTTTAGTCGCATTTGCACACTCATTACACCTTTTATTGCGTCCTACTACTGATGTGTCTTTAGAATCTCCAAGCTATTCCACTGATCCGAATGATCCGTGGAATTTGGCTACAAAATATAACGCTATAGATCCCAATGGTACAATTGAAGATAATGCTTCACTTATTGATCCTCCTACTGCGACCACAAATATGTTTATGATGATGGCCACTGCAATTTCTGCTGTTTATATTATGCTAACAGGTAAAATCTAAATTATTCATTTTTTGAAATTGCTATGCATCATTGGCGCCGATAAATAATAACTTTCTTGTACTAAGTTTAAAATACGTAACTTAAATAGGAGACACAACACCAATTTCTTATTGGGATTTAGAAAATAACATAACTTTACTCGCTTTAACGATCATATTTTCTTTCGGAGCAACTATTTAAGTGAGACTCAAACTAAAGAAGCGTATTTAATTCTAAGAGCTGAAGTAAGACCTTTAAAAACTAAAATATTATATATGTTGTAAGTGGGAATTGAATCATAATAGAGTTCAGAATCCACTTAGAATAATTATACTAAAAATCATAACCATAATCTTAACAATTCCGAATCAACATAAATTCTGTCCTACCTACGACATATATATTTATTTATTAATTCATTAATTAATATTTAATATTTTATTGATGTGTAGGTATTAGAAGAAATTGAGTTATTATATATGTTACCTCATCAACGAAGAAAAGAAAATTGGTTTCCGTTTGTTATGTAGGTTATTTAACTACATGCAAAAACAAAATCTACTCCTATTACTTATATACTTTCATATTAAAAGTTTTTATGAATGCCACACAATTAAGCTTCGTGAGCATTTAGTTGAGATTATCCAACATAATAAATGGTCAGGTTATAAAAAACCTTACATTTCAAAGAATCTTAATGATGTTCTTCTACTCCCTGAAGAACAACCCCCTCTTACACAAATTGAGGAGGATATTAAAGAGCTGAAAGAATCAATTATAGAGCTAAAAGGATCATTTAAATCTAAAGAACCCTCTCTTACACGAATTGAGGAGATGCTTAAAAAGCTGACAAAAAATCAAACTGATTAGCTAAAGAACCTAAAGAACCCTCTCTTACACGAATTGAGAAATTATTAAAGAGATGAAAAAAACGGATCAAGTATAATATGGGTGATTATTTTCGAACCCGGACCGATTTTGTAAGCTACACAGAACAACATATTTATCTTTATTAACATGTAAGTAAATTTATAAAGTAAGTCTTGCATGTGGAAGAAGATAACCGGGCCCAAAGCCACATTAGCTATCGCCTTACTATGACAATATTATATTATATTTTTATATTTTGTGACAAGCTATTATGTTGTAAAAGTATAATTCTAGTTTCTAATACTTTACACCGATTTTAACCGGAATGTCTGTATTTAACTTTTTTTGGTGCATATTTTTTTTAATAATTTTCAATTTATAATCAATTTTCATATTATCCGTATTAATTAGTATACTTAATGTAGGAGTATAAAGATTATTATTTATTTGTAAAAATGATATAATTTATAATTATTGATATATAATTGATGGATATTTGTCAACACTGTGTTCACAAATAAATAATTTTTTTAAAAAAAAAAAAATTAATTAAATCTTTAATTGTATAAACATTTTAGATTTTTAAGAAAACTATTTAGATAAGATGCTAAAATAACTACGGTCAGACCTCTATATAATCACCAAGTTGGGTGCGCCCTAATGTGGTGATTGTATAGAGGTGGGACTATAAACAAATACAGTCGTTCTCCTCTACAGTCACCTCCTATATAGTCACACCCTCTTTTTAAGCACCATGAAAAAGGTAATAGCACATGATTGTATGCAATGGAGATTATAGATGCATGTGATAGATTATAGATACGCAGAGAT